CCGGCGGTGGGTGAGGAGGTGGGAGCTATAGAGGAAGGTCTTCCCACATTCCTCACACTCGAAGGGCCGTTCCCCTGTGTGGACACGTTGGTGGGCAACAAGCTTGGAGCTGCTGTTGAAGCTCTTCCCACATTCCAAGCACCTGAAGGGCTTCTCCCTGCTGGGAGGCTGCTCAGGGACCACCAGCTCGCAGCTCTGGCTCAAGCTCTGGCTCAAGCTCCGGCCGCCTTCCCGGCACAGGCCGGGTCTTTCCTCCTCAGAGCACCCTGGGCTGCCTTTGGAGCCCCTCCTCTGGGGGGAATCTCCGGCCCTTTTCCTCCCCGCTGCCTTCCTGCGCCGTGGAGCCCTTCAAAACGGCCTCTCCCACCAGGGTCTGCCGGGGGGATTTGTCCTCCGTGCCCTCCGTCCTCAGCTCGGGGCCTGGGGCAGGAAGGAAGGACAGGGAGGGGATTTGCCTCCGGCCCAGAGGGAAGGGGGAGGAGAAGGAAGACAGAGAGGAAGGAGGGTAGAGAATGAAAAAGGAGAGGAAGGAATATGAAAGGAAAGAACAAGAAGAAAAAGAAACACAGAGAGGAAGGAAGAAGAAGGAAAGATGAAGAAGGCCCAGAACTGGACACAGCACTCGAGGTGTGGCCTCACCAGTGCCAAGTACAGGGGAAGAACCACTGCCCTGGTCCTGCTGGCCACGCTGGTCCTGAGAGAAGGAAGGAGCAAGGAGACAAGGAATGATGAAAAGGAAGGAGAAGACAGAACAAAGAAAAAGGAGAAAGGAGAGAAAGGAAGGAGAAGGAAGAAGGAGAAAGAGGAAAAAACATAAGGAGGAAGGAGAGGGAGGAACAAGGAGCAGGAAGAAGGAAGGAAAAGGAACAAGGAGTGGAAGGAAAAAGCTCAGGGAGGGGATTTGCCTCCGGCCCAGAGGGAAGGCCAAGGACATCCCCCCAAATCCGGCCCTGGCAGGACGGCGGCGGCAGCGGGGTTGTCCTGCAGCCGGGGGCGATGCTGGGCTGGGAGATACAGGACAAGACAGGGCAAAGGGGCACTGACTTCCTCCTCACCTGCCCGGGGGGCCCAGGGCATCTTCCTCTTCCTCGCAGCCTCCTTCATCTGGCCAAGCTTTGGGAAGGAGAAATCCTGACTGGGGGGAAAACAAGGGCTGAGCGTGTTGGGTTGGGGGTTCCTCCCGCCCAAGTCCATCTCTAGAAGTCACCAGGCACCCTGTGTCCATAAAAACCTCCTAAACACCAAGTTTCAGTCAAACCCCCCCCCCCCCCCGGAACTCCAAGGTTCAGACCAAAAAAACCCTTCCAGGAGTTCCCTCTCTCAGGTCTCTCCACTTTGGGGCTCTGGGGGTCCCCCCTGTTTGGGCTGTTGGGGGTCCCACGTGTATTAGGAGTCCCCCCTCTCCGGGGTCCTGCCCTCTCTGGGCTGCTGGGGGTCCCAGGAATCCCAGGGGTCTTCCCACTTTGGTATTCTGAGGGACCCCCTTCTCTGGGTTGCTGGGGGTCCTGCAGTTCCCCCCTCTCCAGGGTCCCCCTGCTTAGGGATGAGGGGGATTTTGGAGGCCTCAGGGGTCCCTTCTCCCCTGACTCCTTGCTTTGGGGTGCTGGGGCTCTCAGGGGTCCCACCTCCATGGGGTCTCCCTCTCTCCAGGCTGCTGTGGGTACCAGAAATCCCAGGGGTCCCCCTTCTCTGGGCTCCCCATGGCTGGGCTGATGGGGGTCCCACCACTCGCCCTTCTCCAGGCTCCCCACTTCAGTGTACCAGGACTCCCACGGGTACCCCCTCTCCAGGCCCCCATTTCAGGGTTCCTGCACTCCCACCCCTCCCCTCTCTGCAGGTTCCCCCCCTCCTTCCAGGCTAACGGGGGTCCCGCGGTGCCGGGATCGCCCCTCTCCGCTCTCCCCACTCCAGGGGTCTCAGCAGCCCCCATCGCCTGTTCCTTCTCCTCTTCCTGCTCCTCCGGGCCTGGGGCCCCCTTGCCTGGCCAGTCCCAGTTTTCCAGACCCCACACCCCTCTCTCTTTGACTCCAGGACCCCCCTGCCCCCATTTTCCTCACCATCCCACCTCTCACCATCCCTCCATCCCCGTTTCCTTCACCCCGGGGACCCCTGGCCCCCCATTCCTGGCCATCCCCCTTCTCCTCACCCTCAGACCTCCTTTTCCCTTGACCCCAGGAACCCCTGGAACCCCTTCACAGTTCTCAGAGCTCTCCCCGTTTCTCCCTTGCCTTGACCCTGGGACCACCCTGACCCCCAAATCTCCCTGTCTTCCCAGTTCCCCACTCCTGCCTTATCCTGCAGAGTGGTCCTGGAGTGGCCCAGGGATCCCCTAAACGCCCCATTCCTAAAGAACAGATCCACCTGCACCCCCTTATCCAGACCACCACCCCCTGCACCCACTTCCCTGGCTCCAGAAGCCCCTGCGACCCCTTTCCCAGCCATCCCACCTCTCCAAGTCCCCACACCCTCCCTTCTCCTTCACCCTGCCACCCCCTCCACCCCCACTCCTGCCTTTCCCACTCCCCAACCCCTCCTTTCCTCAACACCCGGCACCCCCTGAACTGCCCTTCCTGCACATCCCGGCTCTCCCCACCCACTGAACCCCCTTTCCCTCACACTGGAGGCCCCTGCACCCTCCTTTCCTGGACACAAGGACCCGAGAGACCCCCTGGGCCTCCTCTCCCAGTCTCTACATCCCCCCTTTTGCCTTCCCTCTGGGACACCCCAAACCCCCATTCCTGGCCACAGGAACCCCCTGGCACCCCCTTATTCTGCACTAAGACCCCCCTGCAACCCCCTTTCCCGCCCAGCCCGCCTCTCCCAGCCCCCAGGCCCTGCTTTTCCTTCACGCTGCTACCCCCTGCACCCCCAGGCCTGCCTTTTCCACAACCCACAGGACCCTTTTCTTTGGAACACGGGGGGACCCCCTGAACCCCGGGTTCTGGCCGTTCTCCCAACCCCCAGGACCTCCCTTTCCCCCACACCGCCGACCCCTGGCCAGGGGATCTCCCCGGACCCCCCATCCCACCTCTCCAGAGCCCCGCACTCCCCTTTCCTCGGCCCTGGCATCCCCCAAAACCCCCTTCCCCAGCACTCTGCCCCCCGACAGCCCCAACACTCACCCCAAAAACACTCCCAGGCTTCCCCCTCTCCCATCTCCCCACTTTGGGGGGCGGGAATTGGGGAACTCCCGCCACTGTTGGGGACAATCAAAGAGTTCCCGACGCGTGGCCGGGGCCTTTGTTCGGCCTGCCGGGAATTCCCAACAAACATCCCGGCCCCCATCAGCCGCTGGGGCCCGGGGGTCCCTCCTCTCCAGGGATCGAGCTGTGGGGACACGAAGGGACCCCCACGGGAACCCCTTTGCCGCTCTCCCACCTCCCCTTCTTCCCCTCTCCCACCCTTTGCCCGTCGCCCCCCGCTGCTTTGGCAGTGACCCACCCCCTCTCTCGCTCACTTTGGGGCTCCCAGCCCCTCTTCTCCTTCCCCTCTGCCCCTTTGCCATCGGGGCCCCCCAACTCACCTCGAGCTCCCGGCTCGGGGATGGAGCGGGGGGAGGAGGAGCGGGCAGAGGCAAAGGAGGAGGAAGAGGAGGAGCATCGCCCCCCTGAGCGGGCGGGGAGGGGGAGCTCGGCTGCGATGGGTTGGGGGTGTGCGGGGGGTTTTGGGGGGGATGTTTGGGGCTGAGCCGCAAATGGCCCTCGGGGGGACCTCGGGGGGTCCCCGGGAGGTGTTTTGGTTTTGTTGGGGGGGATCCCGGGGTGGGTTCCCGGCAGAGGCGGGAGGTGGGCGGGGGGATGCGGGGACCCCCCCCGCGGTGGGGGTCGGTGTTGCGGGGTCAGGCCCCGCCGCCCCCATTGTCAGCCCGGTGCCGGCGGGGGGGGACGCGACGAGCCCCTTTTTTAGGGCCCCCGGAGTGGGGAGAGCAGAGAGGGGCGACAGCGGAGCTGGGGGACCCCCGGCAGCCTGGGGGGGCGGGAGGGGAAGCGCGGAGAGGGGGAGCCCAGAGGGGTGGGGGGGCCGGGGACTCCCGGCCCCTGGAAGAGGGGACTCCGAGAGGGGGGACCCCTGGGATTCCCGGCATCTCCAGCAGCCCGGAAAAGGCAGAACCCCGGAGAGGGGGCCCCCAAAACACGAGAGACCTGCAACAGTCTGAACGGGGGGACCCCAGAACCCCAAAGTGCAGAGAGCAGAGGGAGTGAACTTCGGGGAGGGTTTTTTAGAGCCTTTTCCACGGGCCTGCCTCACCTGGCTGTGGTCTCCCTGTTTGTCAGCACTGTCAGGTTTGCCCACCTGAAGCCCCCCTCCATCTCCTCCCTGCTGCTGGAACTGCTGAGGTCAGTTCTGGACTCGGTGGTTCCAGTTTTCCCATGGGATCATCCCCTTGGGCATAGGATCCACAATTCCCAAAATCGTCCCTGAATCCCACCCCAAAGCCTCCCATTCCCGACCCCCTGGATCCCGGTGTTCCCCTGGGAGTGTCCCAGTATTCCCGCGGGAGCGTCCCGGGATCGTCCCGCCGGGAATGGGATCTGCAATTCCCGGCTTGGGACCCCAAAATCCCAGTTTTCCCGTGGGATCATCCCCTTGGAAATGAGATCCAGAATTCCCAAATTGAGACCCCCAAATCCTCCCTGATTCCCACCCCAAACACCTCTTTCTGACCTCTTTTTCCATGCTATATCCCAATTTTCTCAAGGGATCATCCTGTGTTTTCCATGGGATCATCCCCTCGGGAACGGGGTCTGCAATTCCCAACCTTCCCCCCCCCCCCCCCCCCAATTTGGGACCAAAAACGCGGCCTCACCCCCGTCCTAAAATCCGGCATGTGGGGTCTGGGTCGCCCCAAGAGGTTGGGGTGGGATCCACACGTGCGGATCGCAGAATTCCGGGAGAATTTTTGGAATTCCCGAGGTGTTTTTTTTCTTAATACTGTTATTCAGGGTTGTAGCAAACAATGCGGTTGGTGGATTAAAATGGAAACATTTGGATGAGCCCAGAGGGTGAAATCCAGGACTTGGCGATGCCACGAGGGGATTCAGGTGTTTATGGGATTCAGGTGTTTATGGGAGGGGAAAAATCCGGGAAAAGGGGGAAAAAAACCCGGGCAAAGCCGAAAAACTCCGGCTGGAGGACTGACGATAGAGTTGGTGCGGGCAGAGCGGCGCGGCGTGCGCGCCTCCGTCTCCGTGTTCACTTCCGGCACCGCCATGTTGGGGAGTTCGGCGGGGCGACTGGCGGGGGTCGTGGCGCTGGTCACGGGTGGGTTTTGGGGGGGATTTTGTGGTGTTTTGGGGGCGAGAGGGAAGGGGAGACCCCCAGGGGAGGAGTGGGGGGGAACTTAGGGCGGGGAGACCCCCGGGAGGGACGCTGGGAGGGGTTAAAGGTGACCCTGGTGATACTAGGAGGGTCACTGGTGATACTGGGATGGTCACAGACCCCTCTGGTGACACTGGGGGAGGTCACTGGTGACACTAGATCCCACTGGTGACACTGGGAGGACACTGGGAGGGGTCACAGACCCCACTGGTGACACTGGGGGGGTTATTGGTGACACCGGGAGGGGTCACTGGTTAAAGTGGTCCCCACTGGTGCCATCGGGCAGTCATTGGTCGTCCGGGTCGCCAGGGGGCGCCAGGGGCGGTTCCCATACCCCTCAATGGCCCCGGTTATTCATTGGCCCTCCGAACCGCCAGGGGGCGCCAGCGGCATCGGCCGCGCCGTGAGCGGCCGCCTGGCCCGCGAGGGCGCGCGCGTGGCCGTGGCCGATCGCGACATGTCGGGGGCGGCGGCGACAGCGAAAGGGCTCCCCCGGAACTGCCCCCCCGACCACGGAGCTTTCCAGGTGGATGTGGCCGATCCCAAAAGCGTCGCCGGGATGGTGAGGGGGGTGCAGGTAATGTCGCCGCCTCCCCCCCACCGGTGACATGTCGCGATAGCGTCACACCCTCCCCAGTGTCCCGCAGTGTCCCTGAGTGACCCCCGATATCCGCAATGTCGCCCTCAAAATTCCCAAATCCACCCCAAATCACTCCCAGAATTCACAAATTCCCACAAATTCCTTCCTATTCCCACAAAATTCCTGGGAAATCGCAACCAAACGGCCCCAAATTGCAGGAAAAGCCCCCCCAAATCCACCCAAAATCGACCCAAATCCTCCCCAAATCACCCCCAGAATTCCCAAATCCCCACAAATCCACCCAACCCAGACCCAAATCCACCCCAAATCACCTCCAGAACTCACAAATTCCCCCAAAACTTGCAAATTCCCACAAACTCCCCCAAAATTCCATCCGATTCCCACCAAATTCCTGGAAAATCGCAGCCAGCCGTCTCCAAATTGCAGGAAAACCTCCACAATTCCCTCCAAAATCGACCCAAATTCCCTCGCATTCCCCCCAGAATTCCCAAATCCCCAAAACTAGACCCAAATCCACCCCAAAATCACCCCCAAAGCTCCCAAATCCCCATGATTTCCCCAAAACTCACAAATTTCCTCAAAATTCCATCCGATTCCTACCAAATTCCTGGGAAATTGCAGCCAAATGCCCCCAAATTGCAGGAAAAAACCCCCAAATCTGCCCTAAATTAACCCAAATCCACCCCAGAATTCCCAAATCCACCCAACCCAGACCCAAATCCACCCCAAAATCACCCCCAAAACTCCCAAATCCCCACAAGTTCCCCCCAAATTCCCCAAATTTCCATCAAATCCCCACCAAGTTCCTGGAAAATTGCAGCCAAACGGACCCAAATCCCAAGAAAACCTCCCTCAAATCTGCCCCAAACCAACCTGAATCCACCCCAGGATTCCCAAATCCACCCAAATCCACCCAAAATGGACCCAAATCCTCCCCAATTCACCCCAAATGACCCCTCGATGTCCCCAAATGTCCCCCCAGGAGCACTTTGGGGTTCCCCCCCGTGTCCTGGTGTCCTGTGCCGGGATCACCCGCGACCGGATGTTCCTGGAGATGGGAGAGCGGGAATTCCGGGAGGTGCTGGGGGTGAACCTGGAGGTGAGAGGGGACACTGGGGACACTGGGGACACTGGGGGGACATTGGGGACACTGGGGGGACATTGGGGACATTGGGGACATTGGGGGACATTGGGGACATTGGGGGGACATTGGGGGACATTGGGGGACATTGGGGGGACATTGGGGACATTGGGGACATTGTTTGACATTGGGACATGGGGGACATTGGGGACATTGGGGGACATTGGGGACATTGGGGACATTGGGGGGACATTGGGGGACATTGGGGACATTGGGGGACATTGGGGACATTGGGGACATTGGGGGGACATTGGGGACATTGGGGACATTGGGGGACATTGGGGGACATTGGGGGACATTGGGGACATTGGGGGACATTGGGGGACATTGGGGGGACATTGGGGGACATTGGGGGACATTGGGGACATTGGGGGGGTTGTGCCACCCCCGATGTCCCCCCGCTGCCCCCCCAGGGGACGTTCCTGGTGACACAGGAGGTGACAAAGGCCTTGGTGACATCGGGGGACCCCGGGGGGGCCTCCCTGGTCCTCGTGGGCAGCGTGGTGGCCAAGGTGGGACCCCCACTTGTCACCGTCATTGTCACTTGTCACGGTCAGTGTCCCCAAAATGGGGGTAAAAGCCCTAAAAATGGGGATAAAGCCCCTGAAAACGCCAATTTTGGGGGGGATTTGGGGACATTGGAGGGGGTCCCAGGGGTGTCCCCTCCCCTTTGTCATTGTCACTTGTCACTGTCCCCTCCCCCCTGCCCAAAATTGGGGATAAACCCCCCAAAATGGGGATAAACCCCCCCAAAATTGGGGATAAACCCCCCAGAAACACGAATATTGGTTGGGTTTGGGGACACTGGGGGGGGCTGTGGACACCGAGGGGGGTCCCAGGGGTGTCCCCTCCCCTTTGTCATTGTCCCCTCCCCCCCAGGTGGGGAATTTGGGCCAAACCAACTACGGGGCCTCCAAGGGGGGGGTGGAGGGGCTGACCCGGAGCGTGGCCAAGGAGGTGGCCAGGTGGGGACACTGGGGGACATCTGGGGACATTTGGGGACATTTGGGAGGGGACAAGGGAAAATGGGGGGGAAAGGGAGAAAATTGGGGGATTTGGGGGGAATTCGGGGGAAAAATTGGAGGAAAAGTGGGGAAATTTGGGGGGAAATGGGGAAAAGTTGGAGGACTGGGGGGAAAATTTGGAGGATTTTGGGGGGATTTGGGGGAAAATTGGGGGATTTGGGGGAAAATGGGGAATTGGGGGAAAATTGGGGGAAAATGAGGAAGAAATGGGGGGAAATTGAGGGGGAAATTGGGAAAATTTAAGGGGGAAATGGGGAAAAATTGGAGAGAAAAGGGGGAATTTGGAGGGAAATATGGGAAAATTGGGGAATTGGGGGGAAAAGGGGGAAGACCTGGGGAAAACTGGGGAGAAAATAGGGAAATGGGGAAAAATTGGAGGGGGGATCAGGGGAATTTGGAGGGAAATTGGGGGGAAAAGGGGGAAGAAATGGGGAAAACTGGGGGGAAAATTGGGAAATGGGGAAAAAGGGGGGAATTTGGAGGGAAATGGGGAAAAATTGGGGGGAAATCGGGGAAAATGAGATTGGGGGGGTTTGGTGACCCGGGGGGGGAGTCGGTGACACCCTGGGGGGGGGTGACATGGGTTGGAGGGACCCCTCTGACCCCCCCCAAATCCGGAAGACGAATAGGAAAAGAAAGAGAAAAAAAAAAAAAAAAAAAAAAAGAAAGAGAAGGAAAAAGGAAGAACGACCCGGAACAAAGAAAATGTGGTTAAGGTAGGGTGGGGGAAGGAGAGGAGAGGATGGGGAGTAGCAGAGAGGAAGAACGCTGCAATCTCCTCCTGCCGGGATTTAAATCGTCACCTCCCCCAATACGGACAAAGTGCCCCCAAAAGTGCTGTACAAGGTGACAGCGGGGGGGTGGCCCCTCCTGGGGACATTGGGGGACATTGGGGACATTGGGGGGACATTGGGGACATTGGGGACATTGGGGACATTGGGGGGACATTGGGGACATTGGGGACATTGGGGGGACATTGGGGACATTGGGGGGACATTGGGGGACATTGGGGACATTGGGGGACACTGGGGGACATTGGGGGACATTGGGGGACACTGGGGGACATTGGGGGACATTGGGGACATTGGGGGGCACTGGGGGACATTGGGGACTTAGGGGGGACACTGGGGAGGTGACACCAGAGGTGACCCTTGTGTGTGTGTGTGTGTGTGTCCCCCTCTCAGTTCGCAGGGATGGTGCCACTGGGACGACTGGGGGACCCTGAGGGTGAGTTGGGGACACTTTAGGGACACTTTGGGGACACTTGGAGGTGCCACCACCCCCCGGTGTCCCCCAGACGTGGCAGACGTGGTGGCTTTCCTGGCGTCGGGGGACAGCGGCTACGTCACCGGGGCCACCCTGGAGGTGACAGGTGGGGACCCCCCATGTCCCCCTAGTGTGTCCCCAGTGTGTCCTCAATGACCCCCCAGTGTGTCCCCAACGTCCCTCCAGTGTCCCCCCAATGTCCCCCCAATGTCCCCCCAGTGTCCCCCCAATGTCCCCCCTTTCCCTCTCTCATTCCAGGGGGTCTCTTCATGTGACGGATCCAGCCCCTCCCCCCGATGTCCCCCCAATGGGGGGGAGGGGCAGACCTCAAAATTTGGGGGGTTGGGATGGGGGGGAGGCCCCGAGTTTGGGGGGAGGGGACCCCAAAATTTGGATGGGGGACAAAAGGGGGTCCCAAAAATTGGGGAGGGTCCCAAAACTGGGGAGGAGGGGCCTAAAGTAGGGGAGGGGCTCCCCCAAAATATGGGGGGGAACCCCAAAACTTGGGGGGGGGTCGAGGGAGGGGGGTGGAAGCCCCTCCAAAAAACCACCCGGAGCTGTTGCCATGGAGATGTTTATTGGCCACGCCCACCGAGACCACGCCCACCCCTCCCCTCCCTTAAATTTCTAAAACAACAAAAATAAACATTTTGGACCCCAAATTTGGGGTTTTTTTGGGGTGGAGACCCCAAATTTTTGGGGTGGGGGTTTGGGAGGGGTCTCTAAAATTCGGGGGGCGAGGTCAGATGTGGCCCTGCCCCCTCTTGACCCTACCCCCCTTAAAACCTCCTCTAAAAACACAAAAATAAACATTTTGGGCCTCAAATTTTGGAGTTTTCTGAGGCAAACCCCCCCAAAAGTTTTGGGAGGTGTCCCCAAAATTCGGGAGGGGTGGAGTTAAGAGAGGGTGGAGCCAAATCCTCCATCTTTTCTGCCTTAAACCTCCTCTAAAACGACAAAAATAAACCTTCTGGATGCCAAATTTTGGAGTTTTTAGAGGCAAAATCCCCCAGAATTACCCCTAATTAGCACATAATGCCCGGGGTTCATGTTAATAATTAATTAGCCCATAATAGCTGTGGGTAAATCATTAACCCCTAATTAATCCATAATATCCGTGGGTTCCCATCAATCCCAAATTATCCCAAATGGTCCCAAACAGTCCCAAATTATTCCAAATAGTCCCAAATGATCCCAAATCCCAAATGGTCCCCAAACTCAAATCCCAAATCCCAAATCCCATGTGGTTCCAAATCCCAAATAAACCCCAAATCCCAAGTAAACCCTAAATCACCAGTGATTCCCAATCCCATGTAGTTCCAAATCCCATATAAAAGCAAATCCCAGAAGTTCCCAAATCCCAAATAACCCTTAAATCCCCAATAATAGCAAATCCCATATATTCCCCAATCCCAAATAAACCCCTAAATCTTCAATAATTCCCAAATCCCAAATAAATCCCAAATCCTCAATAATTCCCAATCCCATATATTCCCAAATCCCAGATAATAGCAAATCCCAGGTGTTCCCAAATCCCAAATAACCCCTAAATCCCCAAGAATTCCCAATCCCGTATAATCCCAAATGCCAAATAAATCCCAAATAATAACAAATCCCATTGAGGTGGTTTGAAGCTGGCTCCCTGCCAAGTCTCCAAACCTCACCACAAGAGCTCCCCACCCCAAAACCAAGGGAGAAGAGAGAAAAAACCAAGAGAACTAAAACGAGAGGCAGACAGCTGAAGCAATATATATATAAATATAAATATATTTACACTTATATTACACTTATATACAATTGAAATATATGTACAATTTCAAAAGGAAAGGGGAAAGGGAAGGGGAAGGAAAAAAAGGAACAAAAGCAAAATAAAATATACACGATCACTCTCCCAAGATCTAACAAGTAAAAGAATTAGCAAAGGATATCCCACTGCTCTCCTTGGCACAACAGAAAGTGGCTCTGGAACGACCCCGGCACCCTCCGTCTGCCAAGGTCGGCTGGGCCTTACCAGGCCTCGCTCCCCAACCCGACAGACTCCACACAGGGAACCTGCACCTCCAAAGCTGGAAGGAAAGAGGGCAAAGGCCTCTCCTCCTTTCTTCTTATAGCCCGGCTTAGGTAAAAACCGTGGGGAATAGCGGGGAAATCTGGGCACTTCCTGGGTTACAGACTGGTCATGAAGGAAGGCCCAGCCTAAAGTACCACAGACATCACATCCTCCTCTGTGACATCACATCCTCCTCTGTGACATCACATCCCCCTCTGTGACATCACATCCTCCTCTGTGACATCACATCCTCCCCATGACATCACATCTCTCCTGTGACATCACAGCTCCTCTATGATGTCACATCCCCCTCTGTGACATCACATCCTCCCCATGACATCACATCTCTCCTGTGACATCACATCCTCCTCTGTGACATCACATCCCCCTCTGTGACATCAGATCCTCCTCTGTGACATCACATCCTCCCCATGACATCACATCTCTCCTGTGACATCACAGCTCCTCTGTGACATCACATCCCCCTCTGTGACATCACATCCTCCCCATGACATCACATCTCTCCTGTGACATCACATCCTCCTCTGTGATATCACATCTCTCCTGTGACATCACATCCTCCTCTGTGACATCACATCTCTCCTGTGACATCACATCCCCCTCTGTGACATCACATCCCCCTCAGTGACATCACATCCTCCTCTGTGACATCACATCCTCCTCTGTGACATCACAGCTCCTCTATGATGTCACAACCCCCTCTGTGACACCACAACTCCCTTATGAGATCACATCCTTCCGGTGACATCACATCCTTCTCTGTGACATCACATCATCCCCATGACATCATGTCTCCTCTATGATGTCACATCCATCATATGACATCACATCCTCCCCTGTGACATCGCATCCTCCTCTGTGACATCACAGTTCTCCTATGATGTCACATCCTCCCCATGATATCACATCTCTCCTATGACATCCCATCCTTCCTGTGACATCACATCCTCCTCTATGATGTCACATCCATCAGATGACATCACATCTTTCCTATTACATCACAGCTCCACTGACATCACAGCTCCCCTATGACATCACATCCTTCTTGTGACATCACATATCTCCTATGACATCAGATCATTCCGGTGACATCACATCTCCCCTGTGTTATCACATCCTCCGTGACATCTCATTGTCCCTGTGACATCACACCTTCCTCTGTGGCATCGCATCTCACCTATGACATCACATTCATCCTGTGACATCAAACCTCTCCTGTGATATCATATCGTCCCTGTGACATCACATCCTCCCCTGTGACATCACATCCTCCTCTGAGACATCACATCTTTCTTGTGACATCACAGCTCCTCTATGACATCACATCCTTCCCGTGACATCACATCATCCTTGTGAAATCACATCCCCCACTGTGACATCACATCCTCCCCTGTGACATCGCATCCTGCTCTTTGACAACACATCCCCCCTGTGACATCACATCCCCCCCTATGACATCACATCTTCTCTGTGACATCACATCCTTCATGTGACATCACATCTACCCTTATGACATCACAGCTTCCAGGTGACATCACATCCTTTCTGTGACATCACATTGTCCCTGTGATGTCATGTCCTGCACTGTGACATCACATCTCCTTGTGACAGCACATCCTCCTCTGTGACCTCACATCTCTCCTATGACATCACTTTCTTCCTATTGCATGACATCTTCTCTATGACATCACATCCTCCTCTGTGACATCACAACTCTCCTATGACATTACATCTCTCAATGACATCGCATCCTTCCTGTGACATCACATCCTTATCTCTGACATCACTCCTCCTCTGTGACATCACATCCTCCCTATGACATCACATTCTTCTCTGTGACATCACATCTCTCCTATGCCATCAGAGCTTCTCTATAATGTAGCAACCATCATATGACATCACATTTTTCCTGAGACATCACATCCTTCCTGTGACATCACATCCTCCTCTCTGACATCAGATGCAACATAACAGCTCCTCTGTGGCATCACATCCTTTATGTGACATCACATCCTCCCCGTGATGTCAAGGGGATATGTGATGTCACAGGGGAGGACGTGATGTCAGAGGGACGATTTGATATCACAGCAGAGGTTTGATGTCACAGGATGGATGTGATGCCCCAGAGGAGGATGTGGCTGCTCCATCTCAGTCACCTCAGAGGGGCCCTCACGGGTACCTTGTCCCTCTGTTTTTCATGTTATCCCACAGAATTCCCGGAACAAGCCTGAGCTTGTGCCCCTCCCCCATCATGTCCCGTTTAGAGCCCTGGGACACTGTGGAACCCCAAGGAACCAAGGGGCCACTGTGACACCACAGGGCTTCATGGAACCCAAGGGACCCTGGGACACTGTGGGGGCTCATGGACCCAAAGGGACCCTGGGACACTGTCAGGAGCCTCGTGGTGCCCAGGGCTGAGGAATCCCGTGGGTGCAGGTGGCTCAGGGAGCAGCTGCAGTTGGAACTGTGGGATGAGCTCTGGGTGAGGGGCCTCAGCCCAAAGGCCGTGAGCTGCTGACCCTGGAGCAGCCAAGGGAGAGGACACTTGGAGACAGGGCAGGAGCCCAGGACTCAACAGGAAGAGCAGTTTGTGTGCTTGGAGTGTGAGGGGATAAAACCCCATAGAGTTTTTTGTTGGGGGTCCTCCTTGAGGCACCAGCTCAGGCTGTTTCTGTGTTTCTTCACAAGAAATAAATTGTTTTACTGTTTTTAAGATATCAGAGACTCGGCCATGGGAAACCTGGGGTGGAAGCAGTGAGGAAACCTGGTCTGACTGTGAGAGTGGGGGGTGTGGGGAGTCACAGGGGATCCGTCGGGTCACTGGAGCTGCTGCTGCTGGGAAGGGGCCTGAGTGTCAGCAGTGCCAGTCTGGGCTGGTGGGAGAGTGACTGCCAGGGAGTCTTGGGAATGGTGAGCCTGGGAAGTTGCCTTAAGAGTGTGAGGGGGATCTCGTGTGCAGAGACCCCCAGGAGCCCCCTGAGCCGCTCTGCTCATGGCAAGGATGCAGAGAAGGCAGAGTTACTGAACACCTTTGCACTGACAAGACCAACCCTCAGGGATCTCTGGCCCGGGAGACCAGGCTATAGGAATGTTGGAAGGAAGACCTTGCCTTGCTAAGGAAGATTGGGTCAGAGAACACCTCCAAAAACTCTACCCCCACAAGTGCATGGGACACTTGATGACCTCCTGTCACCAAGGGGACCCTGTGACACTGTGGGACCTCGTGGTTATCAGTCTCTTCCAAACGTTGTGTGCAACTACAGAGAGGCAAAACAGTGGAACCTGAGTGTGTTGATCCAAACTATTCCCATCTCACCTGAAGATGTCCCTGCTAACAGAGGTCCTGTGTGTTCCCTCTGCTCTCTGGGCACTTGCATCCTTTGAGAGCTGCCCATCACTCTGGTAGCCAACAGCACAGGGCAGGGGATCCCCTGGAGGGGGAGCAGAGACATCTTTCCTAGATCACCTTGCTCAGAGCCCCATCCAACCTGGCCTTGAATGTTTGCAGGGATGGGGCATCCACCACCTCACTGCAAATGTATTCCTGTGTTTCATTCTCATCATCAGATATTTCTACCCTCTCTCTAGTCTGAACTTACCCTTTTTCAGTTTAACCATCAAAGCCCCTGTCCTACTGTGACAGGCCCTACTGAACCCTTTGCCCACATGTTTCTAAAAAGCTGCCTTGAAGTACTGGAAGGCCCCAAGGAGGTCTCCCCACAGGCTTTTCTTCTGCAGGCTGAAGAGCCCCCACTCTCTCAGCCTGTCTCCATGCGAGAGGTGCTGCAGCCCTGGGATGCCCTTGGTGGCCTCCTCTGGAAGTGCCCCAAGAGGTGCGTGTCTTTGCTGTGCTGAGGAGCCCATGGAGCTGCAGGAGATGCCAGGGCTGGCAGGGGAATCCCCCCAAGCCATTGTCATTGAGGGCGGGTGCGTTGCAGACAGCCAGAGGAGCCCAGAGCTGGAGGCAGCACTGCAGGAGGGGTCTCAGCTGAGCGGAGCAGAGGGGCAGAACCCCCCTGCCCTGCTGCCCACGCTGTGGGATGAGCCCAGGACACGGGGGGTTGTGGGCTGTGAGCTCCCATTGCTGGCTCCCATCCTGCTTTTCATCCCCCACTATCCCCATGGTCTTGGATGCAGGGCTGCTCTCCATCCCTTCAGCCCCGAGCCTGGCCCTTGAGATCTGGGGGCATTTGACACCCGCTGGCCCCTTTGATCCCCTTTCCCATCCCTCCCAGAGCCCAGGGAAGGACTGAGGGGCCTTGGCTGATTGTCCCTGACCCTCCCCTGCCCCGACACCAAGCTGTGCTCCTTGGGGACGGTGCTTGGACAGCCCCAGTCAGACCCTGTTTCCCACTGTGCCCCCAAACCACCGGGTGCCCCAGGGGACATGGGAACACACATGGACACGGGAAGGCACCCGTGGATGTGGGAACACACCCACCCAGACAGACACAGAGCATTTGTTTTGCTGCAGGGGTTTATTGATTCTTGCAGGGAAATTGCCAGGGCACCCAGGGGATCAGGGGGGTCCTCCAGGGATGATCATCTCCTCATGCCGCTGGAGGGGGCCAGGACATGGGTGTCACCACCACTTCCAGTCCTGAAAGACAGAGCCCCAAACGTCACCCCCAGTGTCCACAGGGACATGGCAGGGGCCTTGTCCCCACCCTGTCTGTCTGCAGGGAGCTGGGGCAGGAGAAGGGAATTGGATGCTGAGATCCATGTGGCCCCCAGAGCCCCTGAGCCCGGGATGCTGTGACACCTCCCCGAGCCCCTCCCTGCCCTCCCGGTGAGCCTGGGGGTCTGCAGAGCCCCCAGTGCAAGGCAAGGCTTGGGGGCAGCTCTGTCCAGCTGCCCCGGGACACGGAGCAGGGACAGCCCCCTGCGTGTCCCTCTGCTGTCCCCAAGCTCTGCCCACTGCAGAGGGCTCAGGGACTCCCCAGGGCCCTGCCAGGCTCCTTTGGGGGGCTGAGGAGCCTCCCATATTTCTCACCTGGACATGCAGAGAGGCAGCCGAGCATCACTGGCGCATCAGCTCCACCTGGTCAGCCACGGGGGGCTGGGGACAAAGGCAGGGTTAGAGACACACTGGGCTAGACTGAGGCAAACTGGACTGGACTGGGACACACTGGGCTGGACTGGTGCACAGTGGGGTGCTGGGGAGGGTGGTGGCCATGAGAGGGGAGGGTCTGGGCCCAGCAGAACTCGAGGTACCCACCTCAGACCTCTTCACTTGATGGAGATCGACTCTTATCTGGAGAGAGAGCAGGAGGTGTCACTGGTCACTGGGGTGTCAGAAGGCCCAGGAGGGATGGGGGGACTACATTTCCCCTCATATCCCACACTGGGGACATCCCAAACCCAGGACTTACCTCCATACATCCACGTCCTTTTATAACCCAGACTGGCTGGGGAAGGAGAGCAAAGGTTTAAGCAGGATTTGCCCCTGTGGGGCTGGGGGAGGGACACGGGTGTCCCCAGACCCCCCAGCCCTGGGTTGGCCCCCGGTCTGAGGGGGAAAATCCCTTCTGCTCCCCCCAGCCCCACTGCACCCAGTTTCCCATTGGGATCCCTGTTCCTGCAGGGCCCAGGGTGGGGATGGAGACAAGGAGAGCCAGGGGAATTCAGGGCCTGCAGGAGGGTGGGGGGAGGAAGAGGGGACCCAAAGAGGGTGAAGTGGGGGGAATTGGGGATCCCACAGGATGGGCATTGGGGTGTGGAAGGGATGGGACTGTGAGGGATGCAGGTGAGGAGGAAGGGATTGCAGTGGAGGGGACCCAGGGAATGAAGCAGGGCAGGGGTGGGGGCAGGAGAAATGGGGAAGGGGAGAAAACTAGAAGGGACTGGAGGGGGTTTGGGACTGAGGGGTCAAGGAAGGGGATTTCTGGACACAAGTGTCATGGGCAGTGGGACAGGGAAAGGATTAGAGGAGAAAGAAGGGAAGAAATGGTGTGGGAATGATGGCCTGTGTGTGTGTGGTGGGGTGGACTGGGGTGTGTGGGAATAGAGTGGGGGCCCTGAGGAAGGGCCTCCCCGGTGTACACTGGGGTGGACTGGGGAGCACTGGGATGGCCTGGAGGGTGGTGGCCACCAGAGGGGAGGGTCTGGGCCCAGCACAAGCCCTGGTACTCACGCTGGTCATGGTTCCCTGTAGAGAGACAAGGAGACGTCACTGGTCACTGGGGTGTCCCCAGTGCCAGGAAGGGATGGGGGGCCCAAAGTGCCCCCACTTCCCACACTGGGTGCCCCCCAACTCCCAGACTTACCTCCCCACAGTCTTCACCGCTGGCCTCAAAGGGCTGCAGGAGGAGAGCAAAGGCTTGGTTGGGGTTGGCCTTGTGGGGTTGGGGGGGACACGGGTGTCCCCACCCCCTCCAGCCCCGGCTGCCCCCCGGGCTGAGCGGGGCTCTTTGGGATTGCGGCTCCCAGGCAAGCTGGGGACACCAGTGCAGGGGGAAAGGCAAGGCATTGAGGGCAAAGCCTGGAGGAAAGGCCCTGGGAAGGGGTCATGGCAGGGCATTTCCCAGTTGGTGCCAGTTCAGCCTGGCCAGGCCTTGTCCCACTTGAGCCCAGGGTGGAGCTTGGGCCTGTTTGTCCTCCTTGGACTCCAGTGGGGCTTGGCCCAGTTCCACCCAGTTTGGGTTGGGCCTTTGCCTTGGCTGGCAAAGAGAGGAGATGGTGGGGAGATGCCCCAGGGGACCAAGAGGATGGGATGGGGAGGTCCTAAAAGGTGGGATTTGGGGTCAGAAAGAGCAGGAAGCGTTGGGACTGTGCCAGGATGGAGCCGGGTGCAAGCATCCCGTGAGGAAGCGGAGCTGCAGCAGCAGGAGTTGAATTGTGGGAAGGGGAAGGAGAGAGGGAATTGTGACCAGAAGAAAGTGTCCTGGCCCAGGGCTGTGGGTGCTGGGGAGTGCTGGGGGATCCCCTGGATTGGGAAGGGGCCCATCCCTGAGCCCATGGCCGTGGCATGGGGGCCTCACCTTGGCATCTGCCGGGGGGCGCAGCAGGATGGTGAAGAGCAGGGCCACGCTGAGCACAGCGACCTTCATCTTCCTCTGGGCCTGGGCAGCGCTGGCTGAGGCTGCACAAGGGCAGGAGCACATTTATCCCTGCCGGGACGCCTCCCTGCCCCCTCCCCGAGAGCCCCCGGGGCAAAGCCCGGCTGGGCACAGCCCCCAGCCCTGGCCACAAGCCCAGCCCTGGCACAGAGTCCATCCCGCCTGTGGCACCCATCCAGCCACCTTCCCCGGCATCCCTCCAGCTTCCTGCACGGGGCAGCTGCCCCTGGAAGGGCCCAGGCCCCTGGGGGTGCCAAGGGGGTGGGCAGGGAGCTGAAAGCAGCTGCATACCCTGTGGGGACAATCCCACACAGCTCAGTCCATCCTCCAACGGCCCCCAAAGCCTGATCCACCTGTGTCCTCCTGCCCATCCCTTCCTAGAGCTTTCCCTCTGGGACACCCCAGAGCTCAGGCCAGCCCCAAACCCGGCTGGTCTGAGCAGAATTGTCCCTGTTCCCACCCCAGTCCCATGGCTGAATGCAGGGCTGGCACTGCCCCCCTTCTTGGGGCACCAGGAGCCCGGGATCAGGGAAACAGGGAGCTGGGAGATAAAGGGGCTGACGGGCAATGGGCACAGGTGGGTGACTGGGCTCTCCAGTCTGGGCAGGCACTGGGGAGCACTGGGCAATGCTGGCCCTGGCACACAAGGGCTGGGCCCAGGGAAGTGCTGGGGTGGTGGCAGTGCCCGGCTCCAGCCCCTTTGCGGGCACTGCAGCCCCCAAGTGGTGCAGGCCCAGCCACGGCCTCCCCGAGCAGAGCCCAGAGGGGCAGATGCCCTTTGCTGGCCCTGCCCCTGTCCCAGCTGGGCACACTGTGTCCTCCCGCATCAGCTGGGCCCCGCTCTGCTCAGCTGGCCCAGGCAGGGGGGCCAGGCACTGGCAGCCCAGCAGGGCTCTGGCTCCACACTGGGCTGGCCCTGGCACACAGCTGCCCCAGTGCCCCTGTCCCCAGGGATGGCCCTGCCCTGCCCTGGGCCCAGCGCTGGCCCTCAGCAGGATGGCACCTTCCCGCCCCACTCTCCCTCCCTCCCCACCCGCCTCACAGGCCCCTCTGGGCTGGGACCCCCGTGGGCACAGATCAAGGACAGCCACTGAGCGGGGGCTCCCGCCACCTGCCACAGCCTCAATTCTCCACTCACCTTTGGCCACAGTTCCGCAACACCTTCCATCCTTACGGGCCCCTGACCACACACAAGAGACCATTGTGGGGCAGCTGGGAAAACATCTCAGCTGAATGACTTGACTATTTGCCTTGCATTTTCCCCAGGAGCCGGCAGTGACCTGGAAGATTTTCCTTTTGCCCCTTTCTGCTTCGTGCCTCGTTTGTTGGATAATTGAGGAACGTTGACTGAGGAGGGGCCCAGGGGAGGTGAAGCTGCTCAAGAAAGAGTCATTGCACCTCTGTGGGTGCAAGGCCTGAGTGCTCTGGCAGCTTGGTCACAGTCCTGCTGCGTGTCCATGCTGAGATCACAGGCAGGGACAGGCCCTGGCACTGCTGGCACAGTTTGGGGGCACAGCGGGAAACAGGGTCTGACTGGGGCTGTCCAAGCACCGTCCCCAAGGAGCACAGCTTGGTGTCGGGGCAGGGGAGGGTCAGGGACAATCAGCCAAGGTCCCTCAGTCCTTCCCTGGGATCTGGGAGGGATGGAAAAGGGGATCAAAGGAGCCAGTGGGTGTCAAATGCCCCCAGATCTCAAGGACCAGGCTCGGGGCTGAAGGGATGGAGAGCAGCCCTGCATCCAAGGCCATGGGGATAGTGGGGGATGAAAAGCAGGATGGGAGCCAGCAATGGGAGCTCACAGCCCACAACCCCCCCGTGTCCTGGGCTCATCCCACAGCGTGGGCAGCAGGGTAGGGGGGTTCTGCCCCTCTGCTCCGCTCAGCTGAGACCCCTCCTGCAGTACTGCCTCCAGCTCTGGGCTCCTCTGGCTCTCTGCAACGCACCCGCCCGCAATGGCAATGGCTTGGGGGGATTCCCCTGCCATCTCCTGCAGCTCCATGGGCTCCTCAGCACAGCAAAGACACGCACCTTTTGGGGCACTTCCAGAGGAGGCCACCAAGGGGATCCCAGGGCTGCAGCACCTCTCGCATGGAGACAGGCTGAGAGAGTGGGGGCTCTTCAGCCTGCAGAAGAAAAGCCTGTGGGGAGACCTCCCTGGGGCCTTCCAGTACTTCAAGGCAGCTTTTTAGAGACATGTGGGCAAAGGGTTCAGTCGGGCCTGTCACAATAGGACAGGGGGTGAGGAAGTTAAACTAAAAAAGTGTAAGTTCAGACCAGAGATAAAGAAGAAATATTTCATAGTGAGAAAGCTGAAACACAGGAACACATTTGCAGGGAGGTGGTGGATGCCCCATCCCTGCAAACATTCAAGGCCAGGTTGGATGGGGCTCTGAGCAAGGTGACCTTGGAAAGATGTCTCTGCTCCCCCTCCAGGGGATCCCCCACCCTGTGCTCTTGGCTACCAGAGTGATGGGCAGCTCTCAAAGGATGCAAGTGCCCAGAGAGCAGAGGGAACACCAGGACCTCTGTTAGCAGGGACATCTTCAGGTGAGATGGGAATAGTTTGGATCAACACACTCAGGCTCCCCTGTTTTGTCTCTCTATATTTGCACACAACTTTTGGAAGAGACTGATAACCACGAGGTCCCACTGTGTCACAGGGTCCCCTTGGTGACAGGAGGTCATCAAGTGTCCCACAGACTTGGGGTAGAGTTTTTGGAGGTGTTCTCTGACCCAATCTTCCTTAGCAAGGCAAGGTCTTCCTTCCAACATTCCTATAGCCTGGTCTCCCGGGCCAGAGATCCCTGAGGGTTGGTCTTGTCAGTGCAAAGGTGTTCAGTAACTCTGCCTTCTCTGCATCCTTGCCATGAGCAGAGCGGCTCAGGGGGCTCCTGGGGGTCTCTGCACACGAGATCCCCCTCACACTCTTAAGGCAACTTCCCAGGCTCACCATTCCCAAGACTCCCTGGCAGTCACTCTCCCACCAACCCAGACTGGCACTGCTGACACTCAGGCCCCTTCCCAGCAGCAGCAGCTCCAGTGACCCGACAGGTCCCCTGTGAC